TACTAACTGGCTCACCAATTTCAGAGAGTAACAGAGACACGGGGACAGGGAAAGATGTAAGGTTGGAGCTAACAGCACAGCTGCTTGGTCCCCTGTCTGCAGATGTGGCACAGCAACAGCCAGGGCACAACCAGGTTGTCTGATGGGTCCTCGGGCATCTATGGAAAATGGTGTGATGCATTATGGAGGTTTGCTGATTCCAGCTATCTCAGCTATGAACTGGACTTTCAAGAACTGGAAGGGGTGAACTTTCTAGCCAGAAAACTACAGGGTACCTCTATGGGCACAGTCCTGAATCAACAGTACCTCTGCAGCCAGAATCCTCCTGAAGAGGAAATATCTCAACTGCTGTCTTCAAAGACCACCCTGGTGTGGGATCCTTCCCTTTGGATCCACATTTGGCTAGAGAAAGGACAAAACTGAGTAGGGGGAACATAAGTTACAGAGGTACGAATCAATGTCCCTGCTTATCGGGAGGAGTTGGAGCTGGATCGGCTTCTGTGGCGGCGGCGGCCAGGAGATCGAGACCTCCTACGCACAGGAGACCTGCGCCTTGGGGATCGAGACCTGCAAGAAGAGAAATCAGGTCAGCCAAAAGTAAAAGTTCCAAACAGCACAGCTATAGAGGGAAACTGGCCTTGTCTAAGACAATCATAATCTTGTTTACAACCATACGAACTGTCTGACCCTAAAGCTTCTCTCTTAACCCCTCTTAGAGTCTATAGTTTTTGTTTTTCAAACAGTGTCTTTTCTCTGTATAACCCTGGCTGTCCTTGACCTCAGAGATCCACCTGCCTCTGCCTCCTGTATTCTGGCATTAGAGGCCCCTACCCCCCTGCCAAGAAGGCCACCCAGGAATGAACCTGGTTTCCAGGGGGCCTGTGCTAACTCAGATTTTATAGATATGGGTTCCTTGGACTGGCCTCATCTGCCTGTCAATAACAACGAAGGACCCCAAAATCATCACAGCCATTCAGGTGTATAATTCACATAAAGAAGCCAAATGGGTCAAGGACAATTCCAAATTAACTCACCTCCTCCTCATCCGTGGGGGTGACCTGCGCCACATGGGAGGCGGTGGAAGCATTCTCCTGGGTGGGCTGAATCACCCTGGGGGTGGTCTAGGCCAGGGTGCCAACACGGCAGTAGCAGTGATCTCTTGGCCATCTATTTGTCCTGTAGAAAAAAGGGACAAAAGCATAAAAGCTCTAATATTAAATACTTAACATACTCACACCTGTGATGGTGTGGTGACACATGCCGCAAATCTCAGCACTCAGGAGGTAGAGTACCCTTAATTAGCTTTGTCAAAGTGAAACAGGTAGGTATGATGGCCACACCTTTAATTCCAGCATTTGAGAAGCAGAGATAGAACAGGTGGATCTCTTGAGAATTTGTAGCCAGCCTGGTCTACATTGTAAGTTCCAGGTAAGACCAAAGAGAGGTACATAGGGAGACCCTGTCTCAAATACAAGACAAAATCCCGCCTATTCCAGACAAGCACAAAGTCAGGTGTTCAGCATACCAAGGTAAATAATCATTAGATAACCCCAGATAGCTGGGCAGTGGTGGTGCACGCCTTTAATCCCAGCACTTGAGAAGCAGAGGCAGGTGAGGTGAATCTGTGTGAGTCTGAGGTCAGCTTGGTCTACAGAGGGAGTTCCAGGACAGCCAGGGTTGTTAAAATTAAACAAACAAAAAACAGCAACAGGACATAAGATCCAACTGAATAGGAACAACTTCCCAGAAGATACACAAGCCACGCAAAGTTCTGAAGAATGTGTTGAATCTTGCTAGGTAGAAGACACAGAAGGACCAACAGTGGGACAAGTGACAAGATAGCACAGGACTTATGGGCATGATTGAGGCTCTTGGCAGGGACAGGAAGAGGACAAAGTCAGGAACATACAGGGTCTCAGAGAGAAAAAAAGCAAAGAGCATTGAGACGCGGACGTGGGAACACCTAACAGTTGCAGACTGTCTCCACATCTAGGGTCCCTAGGGCCCAAACCTAGCTCATCTGTGTCAACAATGGGCATAACTCTTCTTACCTTGCAGTACCTAGGGGCTCATTCAAACACATCCATTTAATGCCAGTGGTTAAACATAACTAAACCCAGCCTAATCCCACAGCCAAACCATTGCAAGAATGTCATTGCACTAACTGAATAGATAAGATACATCTATCATTTAGCCAGTCGTCTTTAAGGCCACTCTTCATGTCTCTAATTCCCTGGGTTTTTAAAAACTGATTAGCAATGCTCACTCTGGCAATACCAGATGATAAGCAGACTTTGAAAGTGAAAGTGATTCACAAGATCTGAGCTGACAAGAATGATACAGGTAGCTTATGCTGAACTCTTGAAACACTTGAGGCAGCCTAAAGTGAATTAAAAGTGGCTTACATATCAAAGAAAATCCACAATCAAAGGCAGTCATTGAAAACCAACAAAACCCTAACTGAAACTTTTAAGATATTAGTAAAGCTAACAGGCATCAAGCTGCCAGTTCTCAGTCTCAGTGGCCTACATCCTAGAGCTGGACACAAACTGCATTCTCTAAAACGCTGATTTGAAGACCACCAAAACCCATTCGGAAGTTAACACTTAATCCCATCACCAGGGAGGCAGAGGCAGGAGGATCTCTGTGAGTTCAAGGCCAGCCAGCTCTACACAGCTAGTTCCAGGACAGCTAGAGTGGTTTACAAAGAAAAATCCTGTCTCAAATCCCCCCCACCCCAAACCGTAAACCAAATTAAACAAACACAAAAAACCCATTCTACCATTATAGTTATGTTAAAAAACATGTACCATGTACCCATGCAGCAAAATAATCCCAAAATGCTGAAATGTTGGCAAAATTGAAAAGCATTCTCAAAATGATAAAAGAAAATATTCATTTGATCCACAGGTTTTTTTCTTTTTTTCTTTATTATGTATACATTCTTGTGTCTGCATGCCAGCAGAGGGCACCAGATCTCATTTGGGTGGTTGTGAGCCACCATGTGGTTGCTGGGAATTGAACTCAGGACCTCTGGAGGAAGAGCCAGTGCTCTTAACCGCTGAGCCATTTCTCCAGCCCCCTGATCCACAGGTTTTTAACAGGTTGAAAAATTCTTAAAATGCTAATATATTCATATTTGCTGACTTTTTCTTTTCAGGATAGTGAGTGCTTCAGAAAACATGTTCTTGGTAAATACACCCCACTGAGCAAGAACCAGAATCTACAAAGGGCTCTGCTGAGACTCAGAAGCACTTGGGTTGGAAATCTACTCCAAGGGTCCGACAAGCAATCAGGTTGTCTATGAGGACAGATGTGACAGGGCTGAGGTGGCCACAGGATCACTAACCTCCATCCATGTGTTTCAGTGCCTTCTCTGCCTCATCTGGATTCTCAAACTCCACATATGCGTAGCCTTTGGACAGATGAGGATGCATCCTTTCTACAGGCATGTCAATCATTTTAATTTTTCCATAAGTAGAAAATATTTCCATGATATGATCCTAGAGAAAGAAGATCACATCCTTGCTTACCCATCTATTACTTAACTGTCAAAGGGGAATTCACTAAAAACTGAGTAAATCCCCAGTAGTGTTAAAACATCCTGCCATTTGACAAGATGTGTCACTGGGGCCAAAGTGTCCTGGGCATAAGTCTAATGGATTAAGTCCATCAAAAAGGATTAAGCAGCGTTCCAATCAAGCCATGGGCTACTTCTTTGAAAGAAGGATTACATCCTAGATGTACTAGTTGCCAGACACCAGCTTGTTCAGCCACACAACCCAATCCTCATGATCTGAGATTCTTACCTTGGTCACATTCCTGGTAAGCCTCCCAATGTGCACCTTGGTGGGTTTAGGTGAAGGGCTTCGCCTCTTCCTTTCCTTTTCATCTCTTTTAGGTGGTTTGGATCTGAAAATAAAATTTTCAATATCCATTAACTATAATGGGTCTGGAGGTAGAATTCAGGACAAGGTCCCAGATTTGGCTGGCTCCCAGCTCTGAAAACGGGCAAATATCAGCGGGGTGTGGTGGTATATGCCTAAAATCCCAGCACCCAGGAGGGTACATGGGGATGAGGACTAATCTTGTGACACTATAAGCCAGTTCCAATTAAATGTTTTCCCTTAGCTGGATGGTGGTGGTGCACGCCTTTACTCCCAGCACTTGGGAGGTAGAGGCAGGCAGATCTCTGTGAATTTGAGGCCAGCCCGCTCTACAGAGCCATTTTAGGACAGCTAAAACCACATACAGAGAGACCCTGCCCTGAAAAACCAAATAAATAGGAAAAAAAGAAAAAGCTTTCCTTTATAAGAATTGCCTTGGTCATGTCTTTTCACAACAGTAGAACATTAACTAATACATTATTCCCGATTTAGAAACCCTTCAAATTAAAACATACACCCACCCATACCCACACACCCCTTGTATTCTGTGTGGGCGTGTAACAAGGTAACACGTGTGGAGGTTAGAGGATAAGTTGTAGAAGCTGGGTCTCTCAGCCTCTTCCATGTGTGTTCCAGGGACAGGGACTCTGGTGGATAGGCTTGGCAGCGAGCATGTTTACTGAGACATCCTGCCAACACTCTTAACTCCTTTGATCACTTTTTCCCCTTTGAGACAGGTTCACATGCAACCCAGGATGGCTTCAAACTTCTGACTATCAAGTACTGAGATTATAGGAATGCACCGTATTTCCCCTTGATACACTTAAAAACAATCACATTTACTTACGTATCTGTGTGCTATAGTCGTATGTGGAGGTGAGAGGACAAATTGTAGGAGTCATCACACACCACCTCGGGGATCCTGGAGACTGAACTCAGGTTACCACAAGCTCAGCAGCAAAAACCTTTACCCACTGAGCCATCTTGTCAGTCCCCGATCTACTTTTTCTTACAACTATGGTAATGAGCAGGCTAACTACGCTGGACTCACTTGGAGCGGGAACGCCGCCTGTTGTCATGCCTGCGCCGAGAAGGGCTTGGAGAGCCTGAAGAGCTGCTAGAACTGGAGCTTCGGGATGTGCTGGAGCTTCCTGAGCGGCTGGATGCAGAGGAGGAACTAGAGCCACTGCTTGAGCCTGTGCTAGTGCTGGAGCCCGAGCTGGAGGTTGAGCTGGATCGAGACCTAAGGAAAAGGTGGGGTTATTACAGAGTCAATCAATGAGCAAGAGTCACATTTCTACACAGAAGACTGCCCAGTAGAGGAAACAGCCTCATTGTTTTCATCAGTAATGACATCTGTCAGGTCCCAACATCATGTAGTAACAGGAAAGTAAAGACAGGCTGTTGTCACCTATACAGAACCCTTAACTTTACCCATGGATAAAAGGCAGGAGTCTAGCAAAAGTCAGATCACCACCTCAGCTTGCAACAGGGCTGTAGATAGACTCAGGCAGGCTTTCAATTACAAAAAATAAGCTCTAGGGGCTGAAAATACAACTCAGCAGGTAAGAGCACTTCCAGAGGATCCAGGTTTGGTTTCAAACACCCACACGGCAGCTCACAACTGCCTATGACTCCAGTTTCAGGGGACTCAATGCCCTCTTCTGGCTTCTGTGGGAACTAGGCACACACATGATATGCATATATACACACAGGCAAAACTCATATACTCAAAAAAATATATATATATACTTGCAAGAAAAACAATTCATGTCATCTAAACATCACATTTCTCAGTATCATAGAAAAGTTCATACCCATAAACAAAATACATATCAAGACTATATATCACATATAATGAGATGAAACTCAAAACTGCATGCCATAACTTAAGGTATTGTCAACAATCCTAGGGTTTGGTTGCTTTCAGGCACCAATGAAACGGTCTCAAAAAACAAGGAATGACACCTGTTATCTAGGACTATCCTCCCAGACAAACAGCTGTCACCCAGTTCAAATGGGCCAGTTCACCAAAGATCATCACACCTGGGCTGGTCACACTTGGAAAGAAGAGACAGGGAGGAATATCCAGTTACCCCTCCCAACCAGCTGTAGCTGTAATTCTTTCCTAATTGCACATGGCCTCAGGCAGATGCTTTAAGCAGGGGATTATGAGGGGTGGGAACTCCATCTACACAACCACAGGAGAGTTAACAACTTTCCTGCCAGTAACCCAGCACCCACTGCACCATAAGTAATTCTAATAAACTCAACAGTTCTGGAGTGAAGTTTGGTGAAGTGTAGCTAGGTTTGTTCGTGGGAACACAGGAAGAGCAAATGTTCTTTACATTTCCCCAAGGGAAGGAATTTAACACCAAGGCTGATCCTTGGTCTCCCTTCCCAGTAAGAGGCAGTCCTCGGTGGGCTTCCTTCACCGTGAAGGAAGACAAGGCTGCAGCAGTGGCCCCTCTGCCCCACCTGGTGCTGCTGCTCCCACTTGAAGCACTGCGTCTCTTCCGAGTCTTATCCCTGCCACGATCCTTCTCACTTGATTCTTTAGTGGCCCCTTTATCTTTAGAGCGATCCTTGGACTTCTCATCAGAGCGGTCCTTGCGCTTGGTAGGAGAAGGAGCCCTGCATGGTGAGGAAGAATGTGAGGTTGCAAGCTCCCCCGATCAAACCCTGAAATAGAACAACCCAATAGTGGGGTCCACAAGGAATCCTAAGACCCCAGGTGATCACAGAGCAAAACAATATTTGGATTAGGACACTCACTATAGAACACAAAATCTCCCCTCTCTGAGGGTCCCTAAATAGCAAGCACCCCCAAAAAAGCACTAGAAAAATCTTACAGAATGATTACCTAGTGCTGGACTTTTTATTATTTTCTTTGACTCCTAGCAAGCTCTTCTTTTTCACTCCTGATAAATCCATTCTCCCCTTCTGAGGTGTTCAAAGCAGCAATGTCGGCCTCACTTAATCTGAACTCTCACTTCTACCTCGAGTCTGAGAAACGATCCCTAATCGATTGCAATTTACGCCAAAGAGCAGCCTAGTAACAAGATAAAAGGATTGAAATAGAGTAAACGAATTGACAAGGCAACAAATCCACTTTGCAACAAAAAAGTTGAGTACACAAGAAGAGGGCAAGGGAACACAGCAAACAGCGATGTGCACACAGCTTGTACACCCAGGACAGCCCTTATTTCCTCATGGAGGCTTTCCCTATACCCATAAGAGGCACAAATGGAATGGCCACCTTAGTTTGTCCTTTTTTTTAAATAGGAAAAAAAAATCTATCACACGCTCTTAAGGTATAGACTTATTAAGATTCTTCACTGTTTTAATTAATGATAACGGGGATGGTAACTGTACCTATCATTGTTATTTTAAAGCTTGCACAACACTAGAGTTCACTGGTAAGTTTGATGATGAACCACCTGTAGATGGCTTCAGAAAAGAAAAATCCAATTTGTGTATCAACTGACAGGCTCAGATTTGTTTTATTGCCACAATTCCCTTTGTGGATTCACTGAGTGATGAGAGTCACTTTGAGTGATGAGGTCATTTTGAAGAGTCACAAGCACCGAAACATTAAATATTCACACAAATGGACAAAACATCACAGACGACCATAAAAAAAGGGTCCTAAAGCTAGGCAGTAGTGGCAACACAACTTTAATCACAGCAATCTGGAGACAGAGAAGGCAAAGAGATTGAGGCCAGCCTGCCCTACTGAGCTAGTTCCAGGACAGCCAAGAAACCCTGTTGGAGTAGGGGAAAAGCAAGAAAAAGTAAGGCTGTCAGGTGGGTAAACTAAAGCAAATATGGGGAAAATGTGACTTGTTGGATCTAGGCAGCTGTCAGATAGGCAAAAATAATTCTTTCTGCACCTTGAAACTTGGAATGGGGTGAGAACTTACAGGCAATAACAATAAATAGCAGTAATAATAACTGAAATACAAACTGTTTCTTGTGCCCTCTTCTCAGGGAGAAAATTATAAGCAAAGGTCTCAGGATGTAACTTAACTCTCTCACCTTCCTCAACTGTAACCACGAGAGAAAGAATACACCATCAGAGTTTGATTTCAGAGACAGGGCATTTTTAGATGCTGCTGAATAAATATTCTAGCCCCAAAGAGAAGAAGGAGTTCTTGGCTTTGAACAAATAAATGGAAGACAGCAAATGGTCACCTATATAGCTCCTTTCCAGGGCCATAACATCTTTTCAATCTGTTTGCCCTAAAACATACCATACACACCTACCAGGGAACATGAGCAATTCATGGTCTGGAGTAAGCAAGCATGCCTGTGTTTGATTTCATGCTTCACTATCTTCATCTTGGTCATGGCACTCATTCTAATTATTATTATTAATTTTTTTTGTTGTTTTTTTCCAGACAGGGTTTCCCTGTGGCTTTGGAGGCTGTCCTGGAACTAGCTCTAGTAGACCAGGCTGGTCTCAAACTCACAGAGATCCGCCTGCCTCTGACTCCCGATTAAAGGCGTGCGCCACCACCGCCCGGCTCATTCTAATAATTTTATTTACGGAGACAGACCCTCTCTATTGCATAGCTCTGGCAGTCTGGGAACTCACTCTATTGTCCAGGCTTGCCTTGATCTCAGAGATACTCTTGCTTCTGCTTCCGGAGTTCTGGGATTAAAGGTGTGAGCCACTAAATCTGGCTGGCACTCATTGTTATTCTTATTGTTTTTTTTTTGAGACAGATTCTCTTTATTATGTAGCTCTAACTGTTCTGGAACTCTCTAGGTAGATCAAGTTAACCCCTTGCCCGAGTACAAGGATTAAAAGGCTTATTTTATTAAAGATAAGGTCGCCAGCCCAAGCTGGCTTCAAATGTTCTATGCAGTAAAGTTTGACTGTTGCTTCTCTTGCCTCCACTGGGATTATAGGTTTTATATATGGGGCTGGAGACTGAAACCAGGGCTTCACGAAGGTAGGCAAAAGCATACTACTAACTGAACTACTCCTACAGCCTCACCTTTCCTGACAATTACTACTCAAAGGCCTTAGCTAAATCAGTCTGTGAATCTGATATGGCACCCAGCTAGCTCAGCATTAACTAGGTCCACACCCATTCTTTCCTCATTACACATGATTTCTGAATGCTTAATAAAGCCTCTAACAGCTCACCTTTAGGTCACATAGAACAACACTGTCCAGTAAGAGTGTGAGCCATGAACACAACCTCAAATTTCCTTGCAGCCACATCAAAACCGGTGGGAAAAAAAAAAAGTTTTGTTCTTGTAGTGCTGGAGAATAAAACTCAAGAGCCTGGTCCGGCAATGGTGTTGCACGCCTTTAATCCCAACACCTGGGAGGCCGAGGCAGGCGATCTCTGAGTTTGAGGCCAGCCTTGTCTACAGAGCTGGCTAGTTCCAGGACAGCCAGGGCTACAAAGAGAAACTATTGTTTAAAAAAAAAAAAAAGAAAAGGAAAAAAAAAAAAAAAAAAAAGAAAAGAGCAAAGAAAACAACCCCCCCTCATTTAACAAGGACTCTACTACTGACATAGACTAACAGTACAAAATTAATGATTTTTTTCTTTCTTTCTTGAGAGTGGTGGGATCATGGGTCCCAAACTTAGTTTTTAATAAGATAGTGTTACTTTTATAACATATAACCAATATTAAAATACTAAGTATTTGTGGTTTTTCCGTACTAAATTACTTAACATTTCAGTTTGGGTTGCTACCCAAGTGCTTCATAGCTATCAGTGGCAAAGAATAGCGATTTCGCTTGTGTACCCCACCCCAACCTGTAGGAATATACTTTATGAAACAACCAGAACCCGTTATTCTTAAGCAGTCCACAAATTATTAACTATAGAGTAAGCGAACACTCTGCTGGGTGTGGTCGAGTGCTAGAAGCAAAGGTGAGGGTCTCTGCTCACACAAGTTCAGGTAACAGCTCAGGACCTTGGTCACCTCCCCATCCTCCGGAAGTGTGCGTCCAACAGCCAGAGAGGAGAAAACAATTAGTTAAATCTAGAGCAGAGGCCGTTTCGTCAACCTTCAAGTCACTCTCTACATATAGAAGCACATTTGAGACGCCGTGCCTACGAAATAACACAAAGTAGAGAAAGAAAGCCTACCACCAAACCATAACCTTCCAATAGTCTCCCTTTGAGCTCGGGAACCGTGCTCAGCCCACCCTGAGCCGGATCCTCAAGGCCCAGAGCTAAGAACTACACGCAGGAGTTCGATAGACACTCGTGAAAAGAGATCTAAAAGAAAGCCAACCTTTTAGGCCGGTTCACAATCGGCACCGTCTGCTCCGGCCACATATATCGACCTCGCCTCCCACCCTTTCTCCACTCACAACTCAGGTAGGGCCTGGCGTGGCGAGCCTAGGTCTCCAGCTAGACAAAAAAAACAAGAGAAGAGGCGGCGCTCGCAGCAGCCGGGAGTCCCGCAAGCTACGCTGGGCGCCGCCAAGCTAACGATGCGGGATCGCCCTTCCGTCTGCGAGCGCCTCGACCACTTCCGGGCCGCGGCCTCGACACCTCCCACTCCGCCCGACCTGAACCACTCTTTCTCTTCGGGTTCTGCGCGTCGCCGGCAGACCTCTACCACACTGCGGGGCTGCGAAACGCAACCGGCTCCACGATGCTCCCCACCGAGCCCGGCAGAAGGTCCCCGAAGTTCGGATGCGGCCGGATTCCTTCCCAACTTACATCTTCCCGAGGCCGCCACCTCCTCCCGCTCTTCTCAGACCCGGAGGCCGGCGCAACTCTGTCGTCGTCAGAGTTGAGAAGCGGGAAGACACTGCGTCGTCGCGCAACGATGACGTAAAGCTCCTCAGCCAATGCACCCGAGCGGTGGAGACTTGAAGGCCGCGACTGTTTATAGGAAGAGCGTCCTGCCGGGACTCGTTTTGCGCAGCCTCGGAGCGCGCGGATGATTGGCTGACGGGGACTGGAGGGCTGCGTGTGTGCGGAAGGATATACTCTGGTTGTCTCTGTTACTGACTTTTTTTTTTTTTTTTTTTTTTTTTTTTTTTTTTTTGAGACAGGGTTTCTCTGTGTAGCTTTGGAGCCTATCCTGGCTCTCCCTCTGGAGACCAGGCTGGCTTTGAACTCACAGAGATCCGCCTGCCTTGCCTCCCGAGTGCTGGGACTAAAGGCGTGCGCCACCACTGCCCGGCTCTTACCGACTCTTACTATTATTATTGACTCTCTTATTGAGTGCTAGGCCTACGGTATGGTTACGCGCCCTGCAGGGAGTGGTGCGCCTTACAGCCCAGGCGGCGGAGAGTCCAAGCAAAGCCGTGCTATTTATTCTAAAGGGACAGGCTGGTACCGACGGTGGGTTCCTGCCGCCAAAACTGCGTAGACGCGGGTAGGCCAGAAAGAAAGGAGTTTGAGGAAATGCCGAAGACATGCAGTAGGGGAGGCGTCTCCGAGGTGACATTTCTGAAAAGGATGCGCGGGGCGGAGGGAACAACAGGTGCAAAGGAAGGCGTCCAGGTTCGCTGGGAGAAGAGAAAAGGAACGCCAGTCTGGGTGAAGGTCATTGTCAGGACATAGAGGTCCAGGGCCTAGGCTACACAGTACCCGTGGTGCTGCAGTGCCCCGCCTCCCAACTTCGCTTGGCGTATTCCTTCCTCTGTGGTTCTTTGAGGAAGGAATGGATATGTACACAGTCCCTGCGGTTATCTAAACAGGTTTGAGACAGCAAGGAAGAGAGAGGAATTGATCTAAGGTTTAGGAGGAAGAAACAAAGGTGACTTGGTTTGGATTACATATCGCTGTGAAAAATAGGAGGCCAGTGTGCCCCTTGGTGACCCATGGAGAGATGGAGGGAGGAGATAAATTCAAGGAGCTGGGCACAGGGCAGGAAAAGGAGCCTGCCTCTGGAGTCTGCTCCCTTGAGCCACCAGTTCATTCTTGGGAGTGGGTTAGCAGATCTAGTCACTCTGACTTAACAATCACAAAAATTCTTCACAGGTGCGCCGGGAGGTGTGCCTCTTGGTTAATTCTAAATTCAGTCAGGGTGACAACCAAGATTAACGGTCTTAGAAGAGCAGTGTCCCAGGAGCTTCAACCTGTTCCTGTCTAAAAAGGGCTCTTGAGGCTCTGAGATGGAGTGGTGATGGTCAAGCAGGCAGCATGTGCAGTTCTCTGAAGATTTAGTGGAGTCTGTAATTAGAGAGGCTTCTGGAGCCCGCAAACTCAAGAACTGTGGGTTTAGAGCAGCACTGACACTCAGAAGCGGGAGGCAGCTAAGGGACCTCAGCGTGGCAGGTAGGGTGAGTCCAGAACAAGTTGGACTAACACCCTCTTCCCGCTTTTCCCCCTAATGTTCAAAGTAATTTAATTTGGTGTTCGTGTAAGCTTTAACACATTTTATATTAGATCTAAAAGCATGAGTTGCTCAGATGCTTTGATAAAATTTGTTGCTAAATATTACTGATTTTTATGACCAAGTGTACCATCAGCTGTTGAGCTCTGAAAGCTGAGCGTTAGGCTTTTTACCATTTTGAGGTATGCAGAAACATTCAGAAGGGTCCTAAGAACGGATTCTCTAGCCAGGTGATGGTGGCAGCTTGGCTTTGATGGCACAAGCCTTTAATCCCAGCACCCTGTCTAGAAAGAAAATAAACAAACAAACAAAAACAAACAAAAAAGAAGAGGCAGAGACTTTTTTTTTGTTTTGTTTTTGTTTGTTTTTGTTTTTGTTTTTCAAGACAGGGTTTCTCTGTGGCTTTGGAGGCTGTCCTGGAACTAGCTCTTGTAGACCAGGCTGGTCTCGAACTCACAGAGATCTGCCTGTCTCTACCTCCCGAGTGCTGGGATTAAAGGCATGCGCTACCACTGCCCGGCCCGGCAGGTGGATTTCTGTGAGTTCCAGGCCAGCCAGGGAAACCCTGTCTTAAAAAACAAACAGACCTGGCGGTAGTGGCTCATGCCTTTGATCCCATTACTCAAGAGGCAGAGACACATGAATCTCTGTGTGTTCGAGGCCAGCCTGGTCTACAGAGCAAGTGCCAGGATAGGCTCCAAAGCTACATAGAGAAATCCTACCTTAAAAAAAAAAAAAGAAAGAAAAAAAAACAAAAGAAAAACTAAAAACAAATGAACTGAATCTCTAGACATTTTTCTTTCTTTTTCCTTTCTTCCCATGGTGAATGGCCACTGAGCTGGGGTTTCCAGGGATTCAGGGCATCCTTGGCCCTGGTTGGCTGGAGGAAACATGAGTATCTGGCCACAGTTCAGGAGTGATGTTAGCTCTGGCCAGTATTCTGAGCTCTCTTTCTTCCCTTCTTAAGGTTTAAAGTCACCTGGTAATGATATCAAGGCCATTTTAACTTTGAGAGTCTTACTCATATTAAGGCAGAGCATTTTCCCAGGCCTGATGACCTCTGAGATGATCAACCTTGTAGGCAGCTTCAAAACTGCTACGGTCAGGGCCCACCTGGGCTGTAGTGGAGGTTTGGTCAGCTTTGGAGCCCAAGTTGTGTCAAGGGAATGCCATGCCAAGATGGAAAAGAGGAAGATGACTGGTGAGGGTAGACTGAAGACTCACCAAGGCCTAGTACCTGACTTCAGAAGAATAGAGTAGGGGAAGCTATGAAGGGAAAGTCCTTCTTGGTGGCCAGAATTAGCTGAAAGGGGTACCAGCCAGTTGACCTAGGTGAGCTTGTATTTGAGAGCAACCACCACAGTTCACGGTTTTCATTGTAAGGGGCGACTCTAAAGATCTGAGTCCTCTTTAGTGGATCCTTCTAGATTCTTGAATAGGATGCCTTTTGGAATAGCCCATGTGTTCCAAACTGGAGGCTTGGGATCCTGTTTATCTTCATCCTAAGGTCACATGTTCATGTCTTCCAAGAATTCAAGGACATATCTGATCTGCCTTTCCAGGGTGTTCTCATGGGGTGGGGTGGATGTGGCCTGGTCAGCGAATGCAGAACCTTGAGCTTATGTTTCAACTGAGTCTGGAGCAAGGCATCAGTGACAAATGGCCAAGATGACCTGTGCCAGTCAAAGCCAGGTGATAAGGGAGGCATTAGACACAGGAGCCCCAGAGCCCCAGGAGCAGAGCCTGGGCAGCTCTGTTGAAAAGGGTCAACTGAGTGTGCCTTCTTCCCAACTCCTATTCCCTATTTCCTGCAGATTCTAGACTAGAGAAGGTGAATTAAGAGAAGGAGGCCTTCACTAGGATGGCAGATATGGTGGATGGATGGAGCCTTGCCCAAGATCCTGAAGGTGACAGCCCTGTACTGCCTTCTTCATATTTCATGAATGGCTAAAAATAAACTTCTGTTTTAAACCAGTGGTCTGTAATTTTTTAAAAGATTTTATGTATTATGTATACAACATTCTGCTTACATGTATATCTGCACACCAGAAGAGGGCACCAGATTTCATAACCGATAGTTGTGAGACACCATGTGGTTGCTGGGAATTGAACTCAGCACCTCTGGAAGAGCAGTCGGTGCTCTTAACCTCTGAGCCCTCTCTCCAGCCCTGGTCTGTAATTTCTGATACTTGTAACCATGATGTTTAGGGTGGGGACAGTTCCTCCTGTTTATGATCTATTATTTCCTTTTAGACAGGATCTCACTATGTAGTCCTGGCTGTCATGACATTCACAATGTAGCCAAGGGTGACTTCAAATTAATGGGGATCATCCTGCCTCTGCTTTCCAAGGGGTGTAATTATAGCCTTGTGTTACTATACCTGACAGCCTTTTCCTTTCAGGGGCTTCGCTACAGTCTTGCCCACATTTGGGCTTCCTCTACTCTCATATCCTAACCAACAATTACAAGCAGTGACACAGTGTTACAGTTGAGCCACTTTCTTGGGCATAGGAGGAAATGAGGAAACATAGTGGCTGTCCCACAGGACTTGCTCTTGGATCAGGGGACACTGGGTCAGCCATGGGGAGCAGAGGAAACAGCCTTGTCTCCTGGGTCCCTAGGAAGAGCTAGGCAGCCAGGTACAGCAGCCACCTGAAAACATCTTGGACCTTTCTGGTCTGGAAGGGAATGAACATAAAAGGGACAGTCTACACTACTGTCTCAGAAGTCCACTCTCTTTGTTAGTTAGTCCTCAAAAAAAGCCAATGGGAGGTGGGTTCCTGAGGCCTGTTCTTGGCTCTGCTGTTGATACTCCAGTGTTGCGCACCCAGCCCTGTACCCAGTGGGGTCATGTAATCCCTTCCTGATGCCCTTAGGGTCATTTTTGTTTTGTTTGTTTGCAAGACAGGGTTTCTCTGTGTAGCCATGCCTGTCCTGAAACTCACTGTGTAGACCAGGCTGGCCTCGAACTCAGAGATCCACCTGCCTCTGTATCCCAAATTCTGGGATTAAAGGCGTGCGCCACCACTCTCCGGTTGGTGGCTCACACCTTTAATCCCAACACTGTCGAGGTAGAGACAGGCAAGACCTCTGATTTCCAGGCCAGTTTGGTCTACAAGGTGAGTTCCAGGGCATCTACATAGACAGACCTATCTCAAAAAAGAGACCCCCCCAAAAGAGCTCACAATGAAGGTGGCCACATGATGGAAGAATAGAACTGATTCTCACAGGTTGACCCCTCACTTCCACATGTGTACTATGGCATGTTTGTACATACATACATGCAATTAAACCTATTTTTAAAATGTCAACAGCCTAGTCTACATAGTGAGTTCCAGGACAGCTAGCGCTCCATAATGGAGAGACCCTGTCTCCAAAAAACAAACAAAGCAAGATCCTGGTGGTGACTCATGCTGTTAATCCCAGCACTTGGGAGGCAGAGGCAGAAGGATCTTCATTTTTTTTTTTTTTCATTTTTCAAGACAGGATTACTCTATGTAGCCCTGACTGTCCTGGAACTCCCTCTGTAGACCAGGTTGGTCTCATAGAGATCTGCCTGCCTTTGCCTCTGCCTCCCAACTGCTGGAATTTGTACCATCACCACCACCTGTTGATCTCTGTAATTTAAGGCTAGCCTGGTTTACAAAGTAAGTTCCAAGACAGTCAATGCAACTAGAGAAATCCTGTCTTCAAAGAAAGAAACAAACAAAAGCCCCCCAAATGTCATGATATCTAATTCCTTATATGTTATTTTTTTTTTTCAGACAGGGTCTCTACATAGTCTTGGCTCACGATGTAGACCAGGCTAGGCCTTGAATTTACAGAGATCCAACTGCCTTTTGCCTCCCAAGTGCTGGGATTAAAGAATTGCACCACCACCCAGCTGCTGGCTGTTTGGTTTTTCTTTCTTTTTTTTTTTTTTTTGGTTTGTTTGTTTTGCTTTAAGATAGGTACTATATATCTTTGGCTGTCCTGGAACTCAATAGAGTTTCTCCTGCCTCTGCCTCCTGATTGCTGGGATTAAAGTGTGCACCACTGAAATGGCTATTCTCTTCTTCTTCTTCTTCTTCTTCTTCTTCTTCTTCTTCTTCTTCTTCTTCTTCTTCTTCTCTTCTTCTTTTCTCCTCCTCCTCCTCCTCCTCCTCCTCCTCCTCCTCCTCCTTCTTTTTGGTTTTTCGAGACAGGGTTTCTCTGTGGCTTTGGAGGCTATCCTGGAACTAGCTCTTGTAGACCAGGCTGGTCTCCAACTCACAGAGATCTCCCTGCCTCTGCCTCCTGAGTGTTAGAACTAAAGGCGTGCGCCACCACCACCCCCCGGCGAGGTGGCTATGCTTGGTTGTCAACTTGACCATATCTGGGAATGAATCCAGAAATAGAGAGCACACCAGTGAGAGATTTTCTGCTTGGTTTGAAGTGGGTGAATCCACTTCTAGTCTGGACCTTTGAGGTGGGAAGACACAGGCTTTTAAAAAATAGTTATGTATTCTTTTTTCGTTTTTAGAAACAGAGTTTTGTTGTGTAATGGCCCTGATTGTCCTGGAACTCTCTTTGTAGACCAGGCTGGTCTCCAACTCACATAGATCTGAATGCCTCAACTGGGATTAAGAATTAAGGGCATTGGCTCACAGGCTTCTGATCTGTATCTTGAGGTGAGAAGACACACACCTTTTATCTGGGCTACACCTTCTGTTGGAAGCATATATAACCACATGGAAGAAGGTTTTGCTCTTTGCCTGCTTGCCCTTGCCTTTTCAGCACATCCATTCCTTCACTGGCCTTGGAGCCTACTTCTTTGGAATTCCAATATATACAGAAGGCCAGCTGAGATATCTAGCCTTGTAACTACTAGATTCTTGGACTTTCTGTTCACAGCTAAGCATTGTGGGATTAGTTGGACTTCAGCCTGTCATTCCAATATATTTCATACACACACACACACACACAGAGAGAGAGAGAGAGAGAGAGAGAGAGAGAGGAGGAGGAGGAGGAGGGAAGGAAGGAGGGGAGGGGCGGGGAGGGGAAAGATTTAGTTTATAAATTCAGTGACCCTGACTAATACAACCAACATGCCTGGCTGCCCAGCTTTGAAGACTTTTTAAAGGGATGAGTGCTATGGAAACCATTTGAAGTTTCTATTAATGTTCAGAGACTGGTTAAAATCATTGTTGCTCAGTGTGGTAGCCCTTGCCTTTAATCCCAGAATTTGGGAGACAGAAGCAGGGGGATCTCTTAGTTTGAAGGCAGCCTAGTTTCCAGAGAGTTCTAGGCTAGTCAGGGCTACATAGTAAAATCTCGTCTCAAAACAATAGGGGGGCTGGAGAGGTGGCTCAGTGGCTAAGAGCACTTATTCTTTTGGAGGATGGTGTTTGGTTTCCAGCACCCACATGGTGGTTCACAGCCATTCATAACTCCAGTTCCAGGGGATGCAATGCCCTCTTCTGACCTCTAAGGGAATCATACACACAATGAGGTGCATAGACAATCATTTGGGCAAACCCATGCACACAAAACAACAAAAAGCCAACCAAATTGTCTCAAAGTGATGAGACGGCATGGTTAATCTCTGTGGTGGTCTGAATAGGTATGACCCCATATGTTTGAATGCTTGGCCCATAGGGAGTGTCACTATTAGGAGATGTGGCCTTGTGGGAGTAAACATGTTACTGTGGAGGTGGGTTTTGAGGTTTTATATGCTCAAGCTACACCCATGTGGTACACAGCCTCCCTCAGCTGCTTGCGGATGAAAGATGTAGAACTCCCAGCTCCTCCTCCAGCACCATGTCTGCCTGTATGCCACCATGTTCCCCACCATGATGACAATGGACGAAGACTCTGAAACTGTAAGCCAGTCCCAATTAAATGTTTTCCTTTATAAGATTTGCCTTGGTCTAGCTGGATGATGGAGGTGCCTTTAATTCCAGCACTTGGGAGGCAGAAGCAAGCAGATCTCTGTGAGCTGCAGGCCAGCCTGGTCTACAAAGCAAGTTCTAGGACAGTTAAGGTTACACAGAGAAACCCTGTCTTGAAAAATCAAAAGGAAAAAAAAAAGATTTGCCATGGTCATGGTGTCTCTTCATAGCAATAGAAACCCTAATTATTATGAGGATCTCAATTGTCAACTTGATGAACCTTCGAATCACCAGGAGATGGACTTCTGGGCATAATTGAGGTGGGTAGGTCTATGCAGGTGGGTGGCACCATTACCTGAGGTTGGATCCTGGACTAATTTTTTTCCTGGACTAATTTTTAAAATGAATACAGAGGTGAGCCGAGCACAAGCAGCTGTTGCTCTCTGTGTTTACTTCCTGACTGCAGTTGCAACACGACCAGCTCCTTCTTGCTACTGAGCTGTGACCTCCTCCACTCGATGGATTGGAACCTGGAACTGTGAGCTGAAATGAACTCTTTTCAGTATCTTTTGTCGGAGTAGTTTATCAAAACAATAAGGAAGGTAACTAAGACAGAGAGTGATCAGGTCCCTACCTCCCCATGGCTGAGTCTGTGACCCTCAGACTACTCATGTCCCCTCAGTCTTTTTCTGGATAGTCTTCATGTTTATTGTATACCCAAGAGATGGCCACTCAGCACTAGAATGGTTCTTGACTGTCCTGTGGCCATGACTTCTGGAAAGCAATCTTTCTAAAACTGATTAATTCTTTAAGGATGTAAAATGCAGAAGTGTTAACTCAATGTTTTAGAAAACCTTAAGAAGCCGGGCATTGGTGGCACATGCCTTTAATCCCAGTACTTGGGAGGCAGAGGCAGGCAGATCTCTGTGAGTTCGAGACCAGCCTGGTCTACAAAGCTACAGAGAAACCCTGTCTCGAAAAACCAAAAAAAAAAAAAAAAAAAAAAAAAAGAAAGTAAACTTTAAGAAGCAATAGAACATAAATGAAAAGGGACTCTTGAAGAAACTTCTGGATGTTTTCTTTTTGATATTGAACTAGACATACATGTCTTGCATCAGCCCATATT